AAAAAAAAAAAAAAAAACTCGAAACGAACTCGCAAAAATATATATATATATATATAAATAAAAGAGCAAAAGAAAAGTGATGAAACACATGTGCGGGCCGCAAATAATGGACACCTGTCCACATCGGCCAGTCCCTTTTATGACGGGTCTGTCACCTGTCCACATCGGCCAGTCCCTTTTATGAAGGATCGTTCTCTCCTCTGTCGCGTGTGGAGTTTGACGATCTGGCGGCCATGACTGCTACGAGGCTTTGCAGAACAGCATTCCCCTCGTGCATGGCACCCGCAACAACTCCGATCTGGACTGCGACGTCGCCGATCTTCGTGGACATCATAGTCGATCCCTCGCATGTAGCACGAGCCAGTGTTCCGGAAGCCTTGTCGAGACCTTCGCAAAGTGTTTTCGCTGAGTCTTTCATGGCTGTCCTCGTCGAATTTGAGGATGCAGGTGCGTCGCCACGCACCCTACCTGACGATGTCGTGCACGACCTGCCACTCGTGTCTGAAGCGCCTGTGCCACCGCCATCGGATGCGACACCCCCACCCCTCGTCGAACCGCCTCCTACGCCTCCTTCCCCGGTTCCGATCCCTCCACCGATCTCGCCTGATCGGCTCCCTCCGCCAGCAAGCCCCGGTCCGGTCCCGCCCTGGCCCTGCCCCGACAAGTTGCCCCCTCCACCTTCACCCCCATCACTACCGCCACCGCTGCGCCCCGATCCGCTCCCTCCGCCACCTGCCAGGTCCTCTGAAGCGAGAGTGGCGTCGCACGTGTACGACTTCTTCAATCGCCACCACTCCATCACATCCCAAAGAGGCTCCTCGAACGTAGTGCAGACGTCCTTCTCCCTTCGCTGCTCTGTGGTCATGTTGAAGTAGTCTGCCTCCCCAGACCTGTAGCACTTGTCCCCGATCTGGCTAACGATCTCCTTGAGTTTCATCCACTTCTTCCTGCAGTCCTCCGCTGTCCTGTTGTACCCCTCCTCCTTCAATCAATCTGCGATCCATTCGTATTTTTTGCCACCCGTCTTGTGCTTATGCACGCCATTGGCGTCGGCCATGAGGGCATCGTCTTCCGCGCAAGTCCTCGCCAACGCTATCCGCTCCTCCAAGGTCCACGAGTTGTTCTTCTTCCCCCCCTCCGCCCTCGGCGCCCTCCTCGCACGCTGCTTCTTTTGCCCCGACGCCGTATCCTCCGCCGATCGACCGACATCGCCCCGCATGACCGAACCTTCGCCGACAGCATCGTCCGCTGTCCTTTTGCCCACGACATTGCCTGCAGGCCCCCCAGACCGAGAAGGTGTGGAAGAAGCAACGGCCTCATCACCGAGATGCATCGCAGTTGTCTCGCCATGCCACCCCTCAACTGCAAACGCAGTCCTTTCTCCACTGCCAGCTGTTCCAAAGCTTGGAAATCCACCCCCCCACCCCGACGACTGTCCATGCATGAATCCGCCTTCAGACAAACGTGCAGGCACTGGACCTTGCACTTGAGCGCGCATGGTTTGGGGCTGTGGGTGAGCGTTTGCGGGAACGTGCGACTGCCTTTCCATGTGATCGGCCATCACGACGTTCTCCATTCTTCCACCCGGCGACGAGCGTCGTGGACCTGTAACACCGCATGACATGACCGATCCGTACGGGGAATGCACCATACCCTGCAAACTCCCCGGTGCCCATGCATCAGACGGATCGTCGTTGCCTACCGCCCCTCCCCACGCGCTAGACGGCAGTTCGGCGGGCGGGTAAACACCGATGGACTCGTCATGCATTTGCACCGCTTGGCGACCATACAAGGAGGAAGAACCACGAACACCCGCTCCCGCTCCACCTCCCGCATGCCCTCCCCGGCTAGAAGGTGGAGCCGATGTGTACTGCCATTGTTGTGCACCGGGCTGGAATCCCTCGTTGTTGAACGTCGTGCGCGGCCATTGTCGTGCTGAGCCACGCTCCACACCTCCACCTCGGTCCATCTGAGTGCCAGCAATGTCCTCGACACCTGACCGATCAGAATCCATGGCGTCGTCATACTCCCCCATAAGCTCGGATGTGAATCGGCGTCCTTCCATACCTCACGCAGTTGGGGCAGTTCTCTTTGCAAGCAGCTGCACCTCCTCACCCTCTCGATGTCAGAACATGAACCGCAAAGCGGCGGTCAAGCACACGGTCAGACAGACGATGGCTATGGCGGCCAAACAAAGGAGCATGCAAAGGACGATGACGACCCCCGCGATGGCTTGGCCGACCACTGAGCGGCGACTGCAGTCGGGCACGCACGAAACGATGATCACCACCGGTCGTTGTGTCGCAGTGCAGTCCGTGCACTCGTTTTCCTTGCGCTGCCTCGCAGGGACTGCTTCCCCGCTGCTCGTCACAAGGATGGTATGCCGATCTTTGGAGATGGCGAAGGGGGACCGAGATGCAGTGTCACCAACACCATCTACCACCGACAGCATCTGCCGAGGAGGACGTGATGGCAGCGCGGGGAGGGTGGTGGGTCGTAAAGCTGGCAAGACATTCGTCGGGCAGTGCGATTTCAGAAATGGCAAAGTCGACACCTTGGAAGCACACACCGGAGGAACGGAGAATCGACGGACGAACATGAGTGGCTGTGCTATGACATCTGTCCTTCCCTAGAGCATGAAGGACTTGCATTGCCTCTGCGCAGCCACTCGTCCGTTCATACCCGGTGGTACACACCGCCGGAGGCCATGGACGTCGACGCAGTCAGCGATGCTTCGAGGAAACACGCTGGCGATAGAACGCATGGCAGCGGATGGAGGAGGCAGTCCGCGAGACTTGGGGGACCAGGATTTTCACCCCGCTGTGCGCACAGCCGGCTACGGACGTCCGCTGTCTGCACGGCATGCGAATTGGACCACGGCCTGCTTGACGCCCATCCTCGTACAATCGGCAGTTTTCAAATTCGAATTCGAATTCGAATTGGAATTCGAAAAACCGGCGGCCCCGACCGCCCCTCCAGCACTCGCCCTGGCGGGGAGTCGTTTGTGGGTGACAACAGGAAGTCCGTGTCCCGACTGCAAGGACCACGCGACGTGCAGGCTCAGACCACGGTTGGACCAGCACTTTCCAGAAGAAGTTTCCAAGAGAGAGATGCCCCCCCCCCTACTCTCTCGAAATGGCACAAAATTCCGGCGCAAGATGATCGCGTGCCGCCACGACACCACGATACGAATGTGAAAACACGGAACTCCACTTTTCCGAACAACCTTTGGGACGCGGTGGGGTCTCCGAAACAGCCGGAAACTCCCACAATCAAGTTTCCAGACGGCCAAAAGTTTTTCCAGGCCATCTTTTCCAGGACTTTTCCACGATTTCGTCCTGTGGGGTCCAGGCCTTAGGGTCTCACAAACGAAACGAAAACGAAAAGAGTGCATATGCCCACGAAAGGAGGCAAAATACACTCGTTGCTATTTATAGCAAACCGACGAACCTGGCCATTTTCTGCAGGAAGATGCACTCGTTTCGTTTCTCGTTTCGTGTCCCGTGCAGGAAGATGCACTCGATTCGTTTTTCCTTTCGTGTCCCGCGCCCTTAGTGCTTTCGAATATTTTGCATTGTCTTTGTCAGGGACTGTTCCCTGACGACCGTGCCTGAAAGGGCATGGCCACACCACTCTCGAAATGTGCAAAATGAGAATGAACTTTCCGCTAGATAATGACCAGATGCATCCTCCATTTTTTTACTTTTTTTTTTTTATATATATAATCCATGGCTCCGGTCTATTTGTGGGAAGCAACACAAGCTGGGACCCTCCACATTTCTGTCTCTTTCACATTTCGAGAGTGGTGTGGCCATGCCCAAAGTGGAAAGGGGGAGTCCATTTGGCCATGACGACCAAAAACCTTCCCCCTGGACAACCTCTGTGGCTAGGGGGGGTAAACTGTTGGAACCCCTACTTCCGATTTTTTTCTGACAGCTGTCGAAACTCTTTCTACAGCCTGTGCGGTGAGGCCCTTAGGGCATGGCCACATCACTGTCGAAAATGTGCAAACTGAGAAGGAACTACCCCCTGGAAGATGGCCAGATGCACGTGGTGACGTTTTTGTCTTTCTCATTCACTTTTTTTTTTTTTTTTTTTTTTTTTTTTTTAAATGCAGCCGTTTGGCATGGTCCGGGCACTCCGGCCCGGTCCATACCATGGCCGCTTTCCTTTACAACAGCCGGAAAACGGGTCCGCCGTCCCTCGTATCAAGAGCACAAAAGGAACGATCAGCGGACTTCTCATTCACATTTCGAGAGTGGCGTGGCGAGGCCCTTGTTCAAAGAACCAAAAATAATTTTCGTTGCGGGGTGTACTGGAACAAGATCTGTTTTGAAGGTCGTACACTTTCTTTTTTTCTTTTTTTTTCTTTTTTTTTTTGCGAAGGCCGTACACTGCTCTATAACGACACGATTCATCAATGATGACGCATATCCAAAAAACAGAAGGAAAAGTTTTATTATGGCTTAGGGAGAAAAAAGCAAAAAAATGGGCGAGGAGGCAGAAATAGGGCATAGTCACACTATATGGCCGCACTACTCCCGAAAGTGGCTCTTTTGGGGCCGCTGCAGCGGGGCCACACCAGTCACTGCCATTTTGATCTGTCAGATGGATTTCAGGGGCTGGGAGAATCTGGCTACTGACTGCACTGCCGAAGCGCCTCGCCTCACCACTAACCCGAATGTGCTGAATGTAGCATGTATCTTCCGCAAAAAAGCAGAAACATGCGCCCACCATAGATTTAGTTCGGTCCTTTTCATACGGTGGTGTGGCCATGCCCGAGATCACGGCCTGCAAAGCTGCATCCCGCACCCCCCCCCAAAAAGAAAAAGAAAAAGAAAAAAAAAAAAAAAAACGCTGCATCCCCAGATTCCGTAGGGGGGGGCGGGGGGAGAGGGAGGGGAAGGGCAGGGAAGGGACGGAGCTGGTGAGCAGGCAAGCAGACTGGTGGCAGTGCGATTGCAGGGGCCTGGACCTACTGGCGAAGTATTCTTTTTTTTTTTTGGGAAAAAGCGAGGAATCCATTCAGAATATAAATTGAGGCCGGGAATTCCTCACAAACAACCCGGATCAAATTCGTCACCTGCTGAAGACCCTTCCAGGTCTCAGCTCCCTACCGTGGGGCTATCCCCAACAACTCAGACAATTCTTGTACCCACATCCAGCACAGAACACCCACCCAACACCAACAAACACCCTGATACACCTAGCTAGAGACTTTAATATCTTCTTATCTTCCAACGCAACCCAACTCAAAACCATTGACTTCCTACCAGCGTCCCTACCCCTACCCTACCCAAGCTACCCACCCCCTCACCTCTGCCTATTTCGGCAGAGCGGACCTCCGTCCTTCTAATTCCTGGACACTCTGGGTCTCCCTACCCGCCTGTATCCTACTGCGGATACTAACCAAGTGCGCCTGGTTCACTCTTACAAAACCACAAAACCACCTACCGCAGGAGCCAGTCTGCATAACGGAGTTTCCCCTCCCCACTAATTGAAACCAAATAGCTGCCCTGACCCCAAGTCTCTGAGAACCACCTTCGGCCTCCTGCTCCATTATGACCAGATGAGCCCTTCCTCTTCCAGTCGACTGCAATCATCCGTTGAATCATTAGTTTGAAGGTTGATTTGACCTCCGGGTCCGGCATTACTTTCCTTTCAAAGCGCGTGCGATTCCTATCCAACCAGATCACCCAAAACCCCACCGCCCTGACAGCTTGGGCTACGTACCCCCATCCTCTGTTACCCTGGAGTGAATCCGGTAGACCCCCCAACAGAACCCAGACTCTGTCCCAAATCAACACGTTCCCTGTCCAGCCTTCCCACTGCTTTGCCCACCACTCCCAAATCCTTCTTGAGGCTGGGCAGTCCCACCAGATGTGAGGGGTCGATTCGAAGGTCCAAAGATACCTGTTGCACTGCAGATCCACTACCATCCCCCTACTTGCTAACCAAACCGCAGACGGAGTTGCCATCATTGATTCAAGCCACAGAATGGCTGCAGCCCTTTGGTTTGGAGCGTCAGTAATTTGATCCCAGCAGCTCTGCAAGGCCCGCGCTATCTCCCGTTCGTCTGTGGGCAGGATCCTGCTCCATCTCTCCGTTGCTGTCATCAGCGGGGACCTAGCTGGGGCTACCATGTCTTGAGCTAACTTCAAAGTGAACTCATCTAATCTTGCGTGTTCCCCCTGTGGTCCCCCTGCTTCTCCATGCCCATTGATTGGGGTCTGCTTTCAAACATCTGATTGGTTTCCCCTCCTTCCAAATACATACCCTCCAACCCCCCTCCTCTGTAAAAACTTCCCTCACTCTAACCTCTTCCAGTCTTCCCTGCGGCACTGTAATGAGCTCGCTTTCACCCCCCAAACCCTCCAGGTTGCCCTCCGGATCGGCCAATCTCCACTGTTGAAGCTTCCTGCCGTTATCCTCCGACTGTTCCACAACCCTAAGAAACCCCCTTGATACTTTGTTCTCCTGCCCTGCTACCTCAAGCTGTTCATACCAGGTCCCTACCGGATCTGGGTGAACTGGGGATAGTATTTGTAGCCATTCTTCCGGCAGCGCCACCAAAACCATACTCCGTCTCAGATTGGTGTATCTTCAAGGACGGAGCTTCCTGTCCAGATCCCGTTCACTGAGCCAACAGCCATGGAGTTCGTCCCAGATATCCCGTACCCTTACTACTCCTCTCTCTACCCATGACCTTCCGAAGCTACCCGGCTCCAAGCCTGCTTTTAACATGTCCCCACTCGGACCCCTGATACGAGGATTTTCGAAAAAGATCTGTGACAGGACTTCCTGCTTAGTGTGTGGCTCGCATAGTAAGTCCGGTTTAACTGCTTTCCATACTCGCAGGACGGCACCCCAGAACTCAGACTTGACCCTCCTTCTGAGGTAAGAATCAATCCAAACACACGCCCATACATCCCCCGGACGAGCCAGATGCCATTCTTTACTTAGAATATCTTTCGCTAGACAGATCCAATGTTTGTCATTTTCCTCCAAAATCGCTCTGATCACCCATCTTGCAAGCATGGCCTGATTCCTCTTACTTGGGTCTACCATCCCCAAGCCACCCTCTTGTCTGGGAGCACAAATGAGATCCCAGGCAACCTTGGACATCACTGCTTCACCCTCCTCCGCGAACGGCTTCCACACAAACTTGGCTACCTTCCTTCTGACCATCGTTTGTGTCTTCTTACCGATTGGACAAACATTGCCCACGAAAGTGAGCAGAGCCAACAGCGCCACGTTTACCACCAAGGCCCTACCAAAAATCGAGAGGTGTGGGGCCTTGCCCCATGTAGACAACTTCTGCATCACCTTGGACTGAAGAATCTCCTTCTGTCGGAGAGCACACGAGGTAAGCGCTATTTGTACCCCGAGAAATCTTTCGGAGTTCTTTGCGTCGATTCTTTTCATCCCCCAGTCAACAGCAGGCGTAAATCTTTTAGGGAGCAGGAACACTGATTTTGACCAATTGATTGCTGCTTCCGACAGAAGTTCGTACTGACGGATACACTATCTAAGAGCGGACAGTGAACTCCGTGTATTCGCTGAGACCACGAATAAATCATCAGCGAGCGCCTTCACCTTACAAGCTCCATGTCCGATGTCCGGCCCCACGATCTGAGCCTCATTCCTGATATTATTCAACGGAATCTCCAGATGAACAACAAACAGAAGGGGGGTCAACGGACATCCCTGTCTCAGGGAACGTGTCAGCCGGAAGGGTTGTGAGATGTGTCCATTCACCATCACCGACACCATTGACTGGGAGTACAACGCCAATACTCATGCACAAAATATCTCCCCAAAGTCGATCCATCTTAACGAAGTCAAGACGTATGACCAATTGACACGGTCATACACCTTCTCCATATCCAAGAGGAGGACTGAGATCTCTCTATCGTCCCTACTCACTACTTCCAACGCTTCGACTGCAGTCACTATGTTTTCAAAAGTGGACTGTCCTCTTACAAAAGCAGCCTGGTCATCCTCGACTATAGATGGCAGGTATTTCCCCAGGCGCCTAGCTAGGACTTTAGCCAAAATCTTGTAGGACACATTGAGAAGCGAAATTGGTTTTCAATTTCGGATCTCGTTTGTGTCCCCTTTTTTAAATAGAACGGCTATTATCCCCCTGCATGCACTCACCGGGAGCCTTCCCCCCATTGGAATCTCATTATATATCTCTATCAGGTCATCCCCTAATACCTCTCAGTGCTCCCTGTAAAACTCTACTGGGAGCGCATCATCTCCCGGAGTCTTCCCGCTGGCCATAGCGCTCAACGCTGCCCCCGCCTCCTCTTTGGTAATCGGTCGGTCTAAGTCCAAATGCCCTTGTCTTGACAGCCTTACCGTTGTATTGTCCCAGTGAGTAGAGCCTCGTGCTAGGTCCGTATCTTCCCCCTCACCCGACCTTCTTGACGTCATTATGTCCTTGAAGTAGGCGGCTGCATATCTGCAGATGTCACTTGGTTGCGTAGCTACTGGTTCGTTCTCCTCGAAGGGATGTTTGAGTTCCTTCATTGTCGGACCAGACCTTGTCGGGATAAGTCTTTGGAAGGTGTCTCTCGTCATCCTGTCATAAACCTTTAAACCTTTGACTTTCGCCCTCTCCGCCCACAACTCCGTCTTTTCTTGTTGTCACTGGTCCCAGTCTGCCAGTCTTCTAGCCCTTTCCTTACTCCACGTCAGCTCAGAAATAGGGTGCTGCTTCATCCTGTGTTCTGCCTGTTGAACCCTCCTCCACATGACCTTTTCTTCCTTGTTCCTTCTTTGAGCTAAGATCCGAGAAAACACGTTCAACAGGTTGCTCAGGATTTTTGCACCTGCATCCCACCACTCTGCCACTATAGCGAACCTCTCCTTCTGTGCTTTCCATCGCTTTGTGAAACCTTGAGTCCAATCCGCCAGTTCCTTATCTCGGAGGTTCAAAGTATTCAACTTGAAGTAACCTTTCCCCTTTGGGTTCTCTGGGCCGAGACTGAACAGCCCCACGATTGGTTTATGATCAGAGATCGGGCTAGTGTGCTCTGAGATGCTAATAACTTTGCTCCTCAGACTGCCTCCCGTGAGCATAGAGTCTATTTGTCTGCCTTTTCCTTGATGTGAAAACCACGTATAGCCCTCCTCTGTCGGATGCAGATCCCTGTACGCGTCATGTAAGTCCAGGTCAGACATCAGGTCCATAAACTCCAGTACATCCTTCGGGCAACCATTGGAGACTTGGCCTGAAGTGGAGTCCACGGCCATATTCCAATCGCCCCTGATTACTATCTCATCAACTTCTGGTAGAGAAACCCTTACCTCGTCCAAAAAACTTCGCCTCTCACTCCTTTCCACTGGTGCATACACCGATGCCACCGCCCATCTGCTCCCCACTTGCTCGAAGACAACCCACGCCCACCTACCCCAAATATCAGCATAATAATCTTCAATAATTACGCCCAGGTCCCGATGCACCAATATACCGACTCCCCCCTTCGTTCCTCTGGCCCCCACCCAAATTTGAGGGTCATCCCACCACCTTCCTAACTCCTCTATCTTCTCGTTATTCAATTTCGTTTCCTGGAGACATAATATTGAGATCTTTTTTTCATGCACCCACGACTTTACCCTCGCCCTTTTGCTCCTCCCGGACGTGTCCCCAAAACCTTGCAGGTTCCATGTAGCAATTCTGATCTTAGCCATTCCTTACCCCTGAACCCTGGCAGGCTTGGGGTTGGTTCATCACATCATCAGACCAGCGACAGGTAAGGGCTTCCTTCATAAAAATAGAGTCCAGTTTCTTTCCTTTCGGAAGCCTACTCTTGAGCTCAATCAGAACATCCGCCGACAGGATTGAGGATGAGATCGTGAGGCAAGCAAGATCCTGTTTCTTCGCTTCGGCGAAGGTAGAGAGTCGAACCAGGTGGAGGCCCAATGGTTCTAACTCCGCCAGAGAGCTCTCAGACAGTCTCGCGTCCACCAGTGGAACGTACAGCTTGATCTTACTCTCGGTAGGGCCGGTCAGAATCCTCGGCATGACGACTTCCGGGATGATTCGCATTGGGAACTTGCTCAGGTACAGTATCCTCAAGCAGTTAACTATCTCCACTGTTGTCGGAACATCCGAGACCGTATGTCCGAAGATTGTCGACGCCTCCGCCTCCTTCTTCCAGGTTACCACCCATTGAGTGTTCCTTAACGAAGTACAGACCAAGGGAACAACATACTGAGCCGAGATAGAGTTTTGGCCACCTGTTATGGTTGTACGCCAGTCCCTTGTTGACTTTTGGCCTGGAGTGGCTAAGCTTCCCGCCTGCGCCGTCGATCGTTCTGACCCACTCCTCGACCACCTTGAAGCTCCGGACGGTTCAAGAGTGAGAGATACATGGGAGGCTATGCTCAGCCTTCTCTGCTTCCCCGGTGTCCTGATGTTCCCTTCTTCTGAGGTTCCATTCCCCGGTCTGTTTTCCTGCTTACTACCATCTGCAGCGCTCGCCTGCCCTCCTCCAAACAAAGCTTTCGGTCGAAGGGGCATTCGGCTACCTGCCTGAGACGAATGTATGTCTTGCTGGTTCGGTAAGCCCGATGTCAAGATACCTCCTTGCCCGCCATGCAGCCCTTGGTGGTACCCTCCAGGGATCCCACCGTACCCTCCCTGCGCCCCTGCCCATCGTGGAAACATACCATTAACCATCCCCCAACCCAGTGAGGGTCCTCCCTGCCAGATGTTCGGTTGAAATGCTTGAGCATACAAGTCACCAGCGGCTCCATGGCTTCCTCCGATCCCCACACCTCCGGCCGTCTGACCCATTAATCCGTCTTGAATGCTCCCCCCTGACTTGGCATGCCTCCCACGCCAACTGGCTGCCCCCACGTATTCCCAGAGCCCCACGGAGGACACGGCCCCACGTTTTGGCTCGGGATTCCACCTCCTTGAGAGGTACTCGCGTGCTGTTGACCTCCCGTTCCTCCCTGGGGGGAGAATACTGGATTTGCTCGCAACTGCCCTGGATGCGACGCTCCCGTTGGCTGTCTCGGTGTTGCCGGTCTTGGGCCCATCGGGCCATGATAATTACCAGCGTGCGCTGACATGGCCTGTCCTCGCTGCTGCATATTGATTGTACCTGACAGCGCTGGTCCCGGCCCACGCGTTCGGGCCCCTCCTCCTCGTCTGCACTCTTGCTCTGTATGAAAAAACTGTCTACGGGTTCTGCACTTGATCGTATCTGAGCAGGCGAGCTTAATCTCCAGGAGATTCCCTTTCGCTGTCTCCACCCAGAGTACATCCTTCATGTTCGGTCGCGCCTCCAGTTCCAAGTCAAATCTGGCATTGACCAAGGCTGGTCTGGATGGATCGGCGTCCGTTGGATGCGTTAATATTATCTTCCCAATAGCCTTCTCTATTTGAGCATAGATGAAGGGCATGTCATCCAACGGGACCTGCATGGCCATGACCCAGAAGGTTCTGTCCTCCTCTTCCCTTCTTTCCTCCCTGAATTCTGCCCTGGTCATCCAGGGTTTAAACAAAATTTTATACCTGTTTGTGCCCAACGTTATATCCACTTGACCCTCCGATTTCATGCAGTCCGCCACCTCCCTCGCCTTCGCAACATACGAGGCAACCCCTGGGCCTTCTATCTTCAGTCTCCCTCTTCGGGAGTTTTGTTGCAGATTGGCATTACCAAGAATCCAGCCGTCTTCAAACGCACGCACCAAGTCATCCTTCACGTTCTTCGCTAAAAATCTCGCCGCCTCCTTAAATATTACCGTCACCGTACGTTCCTTAAGCCACTTTACCTTGATCTCATCGAGGGATGTGTTGAGTTTAAATCTTGCTTCTCTCCCCTCAATTATCATCTCCGCTGGATCGATCTCCATGGGATACACTCCGTCATCGAAGCACATGGTCAACAGGCTCCGAATCCTATCCTCGTCCTCCCAGTAGTCCCTCTCCTCCTGCGGACCTGGTGGAGGGGATCTACCTATCCCATCCCCTCCTGGTGTGCTCTCCATCTCTGTATTCCACCCCGTCCTCTTGAGATATACTCCTCCAAGTCCTGTGTCCTCACTTCTCCTCGGGTTTCGCCTATCAACAGTTCATTATTGACTAGCTCTTCCAGTTCGTCCTCCAAACTCTTATGCCTACTGGGGTGGGGGCTGCGCCCCTCCGCCCAACTCTTCACTCCTATGGCTATGTCGTCGCCATATGCCCCCTGCAATGAGGGAGGTCGGAGGGGAGTTCCAAGACGAAATCAACGATGGTAACGCCTCGGCTGGCGGCTCAGATTCTGCCGAACCTGGTTCATGCGAAGCGGAGCGCGTAGCGCCCGTAACGCGAGGTTCGCGCCCCCCTTCTGTTCTGCTGGACCCTGGTGAAGTATTCTACGACGTGTGACACAGTTCTATGGTTTTTTGGAAAATACAAAGTGATTTTTTATTGGGAAAATTTTTGAAATGCCCCTGAAGTTTGCGTTTATTTGCGGCGTGCCCCTGTGAAGGCCGACTTACCCTGTTATGCCCCTTGGGCCTCTGAACTTTTCCGCAGGCCCCTGTCAGGACGGGGCGTAACTTTCCGATATGCCCTTACTGGGCCGCTGGTTGCATTTCGTTGGTCCATCCTTGAAATGCCCTCACGAGGGGCACACATCTTTCTGTGATGCCCTTGAGAAGTGTCGGCAGTACTTCTAATTCGAAAATGGTAGGTATTTCACGTGTCTTCTTGGCGCCATCACCGGTGCACGCGCACGCGAGTGTGTGTGTGTGTGTGTGTGTGTGTGTGTGTGTGTGTGTGTGTGTGTGTGTGTGTGTGTGT